AGTCATGTATGGTTAGTCCAACATCCATACCTACAATCAGATTGATTTGTATATTTGTGGTTGAGCTATAAAGCAGGTGACCTGTTAATTAGTCATGTATGGTTAGTCCAACATCCATACCTACAATCAGATTGATTTGTATATTTGTGGTTGAGCTATAAAGCTGGTGATATGTTAATTAGTCATGTATGGTTAGTCCAACCTTCATACCTACAATCAGATTGACTTGTATATTCGTGGTTGAGCTGAAAAGCAGGTGACCTGTTAATTAGTCATGTATGGATAGTCCAACCTCCATACCTACAATCAGATTGATTTGTATATTTGTGGTTGAGCTATAAAGCAGGTGACCTGTTAATTAGTCATGTATGGTTAGTCCAACATCCATACCTACAATCAGATTGATTTGTATATTTGTGGTTGAACTGTAAAGCTGCTGATATCTTAATTAGTCATGTATGATTAGTCCAACCTCCATACCTACAATCAGATTGATTTGTATATTTGTGGTTGAGCTATAAAGCTGGTGATATGTTAATTAGTCATGTATGGTTAGGCCAACCTCCATACCTACAATCAGATTGACTTGTATATTTGTGGTTGAGCTATAAAGCAGGTGACCTGTTAATTAGTCATGTATGGTTAGTTCAACCTTCATACCTACTGTTTGGAATAGAAACAAACACGACTTTAATCTAATCATCAAACAACTTGTTTGTAAGGTGGTCAACAACACAGGCTTGCGAATTTAAACTGCATAAAAGTTGTTTCAGTTTTCTTAACGGATTTTTCATAATTCAGTTACGCAGATTTCGAAAATGATATTTCTATCGCAAATCGGGGAGAAAACTTACTTAGATCAAATTACTATTTCGTTTAGCACAATGAACATTTCCCTATTATTATGTTTGGATTTTAGAACGATTGATAAGAAATTTGTAGCCAATGGTTGTCAACATTTTAAGCATAACAAAACGTGACCCGATTTCAATAAAAATGACTCACTTATGTAAAAGTACATATGACGTTTTGTGAAAAATCTGTACGTGATAGAGAAAAATGCCTGTCATTTCCGGATTCAGCGTACAGGAATTACTGTAGGACGTTTACAAATTTCAAGCCAATAAAACTATCGCAGGAAGGTGTAATTGATCATCAGCTGTTACTCGTTGCAACTTTGAACACGAATGTTCAGCCTGATTGTTAGATTAAAGAATCCCTGCTCGGACTTGTAATTATTACCAAATGATCATACACTTGATTCAAAGAGGTAAAGGTCATTATGTTGGCAGTTTCCTGTTAATTGGGAAATGATAGTAGGCATTGTCACAATATTTTGATTTATTTCAGTTTACAAAAAAAAGAACCCACATTATCCCATTTCAAACATTTGTTAATACATAATGAAACACCGTTTACGTTATTGTAAAACTTCTCGGTTTCATTAATATTAACTCATTTACATGATCCTTTTGTTTGTTATTTGAGAATTATCTGCTCTAGCCATTCCTAATTTTGAAGTGAAGATTAGAAGGAAGGCAGCTAGTCAATACACTCCACTGCCAACCCTTGGGTTTCTCTTTGATAGAGTAAGCGTATTAGTGACTTCTTTGGAGTCTACGGCCCGCAGATTGCGAGTTAAGTGTCCTAACCACCAGGCTATGCCTGGCTCCTGATCTTATTGTAAATCTGATAAATTATTTAGGAGTTCACTATCTATGGATTTTACTTTTTGTAAATTTTGGTTCAGTGGATTGTGGTTATTAAAGAACGGATTAGAAACCAGGTATATTCCAAACGTCAAGTAGTATTATTTTTAGTGATGAATGTTTGAGAGTGGTAAAAAAAACAAAAAACAAGGAAGAGTGAAACTAAATGTTGCTCCTTCTATGTTCAGCTTCCCGCTTAGCTTGCATGAGTCTTTATCGTTTAAAAAATCCCTACGACCACATTAACCATTATAGGACTTGGCGATAAAATTACACAAGTAATCCAATCGTTCAGCACATGTATATAGTTTGAAATATCAAAGTTCATGTTCACCTTGATCATTCAAATGCCGTATTGGAAAGTCCTCGAACATAAATGTGAAGAATCAACTGCCAAAAATTAAAAACTTTGCAATAGGCTAAAAATGATGCAATAAAAATGCTGACATAGATTTTCTCAAGTTAAGTCAATGAAGGATTTGACCGCTGATGTGATGACAGACAACTGACTGAATATTTTAGATTTTTTCTCATCTTTCAGTTGAACTAGTAGAAATATGTAAAAAAAATATACATCAGCATATTAAGATAAGCTCAAAGATTGTGCCTTAAACGTTACATACTTATTTACATTAAACGCAGAATTATTTCTGTAAATCGTTCAATATAACCTTGTCACGCCATAATACTTTGCATCGATGGAAAGAGTGCGTGGATGGAGCTCCTGTTTTTTTTTAAACAGTCATTGGATATTCTGAAATTCAGAGCAAAAATTTCTAAAAGCTCATTGGTTCTTAGCCTGTAGTTGCAGATTAAATGGCGATAAGAAAGTGTTTGCAGTGCGATGAAAAGCAATTAATTGGGTAGATCTATCCTGGAGTTAAATATGATTCTGTTGCGTATCCTCTGGCCAAAGCAGATTCCGATAACCAAGCATGGAAAGTGCCTACAGGATACTTCCTAATTGCTGAAAAAAAGTATACTTGTAAAAGCAGCAAGAGAAAATATTCATAAAACAAGTATAAAAAATCATGCTTGATGTGACTTCTGCGAACATCCGCAAACCTCGTTTGCAGTGAGTTTCGTTTGGTGTGAAAAATCTGAAACCGTCGTTCCTATATCCTGTAGATGAACGTAGACACGCACATATCATCCTGAATGCGCACCTCTTGTACAACGTTGAAGAAATTTGTTAGGATATAACAATGAGTTGATAGATATGTATGGAAATAAAATTTCATGAAAATATATCTAGAACTTTCAAGAACGTCAAGAAAGAATAATTTAGAACAACTACAAAATTAAAAAAGGAGTCAAAATGAAGGGCACTAATAATAAATGAAACTTTCCTAAGATGCTGAATTGATGAGTGCATCTGTTGCGACAGTACTGCTATTCTTGAAAAACGATTTCACTCTTTCCAAGAATGCGGTGTAGCTGCAAAAACGGACCGACTTTTTTACTTCTTTAATTCCAAACATCATATAGCTATTTATTAATTTGAAAGGTTTATTTGTTTTGTAATTAAGCACAAAGCTACACAATGGAATATCTGTGCTCTGCCCACCATGGGTATCAAAACCCGGTTTCTAGCGTTGTAAGTCCGCAGACATGCCGCTGTGCCACTGGGGGGGGGGGCTTATTAGAAAAGAATGAAGACTGTAGAAACAATACAAACTGTTTACTCTAATCGAAAAAAAATTGTACTTTGTTTACCAAGAAACAATAGGAAATATATTTGTGAAATTAATATTCGAGTTTATAATTTGCGTGGAAGCCTACAAACTGTGCCAGAATAATCTGAAAGAGTTCTTTATCATTATCCTTTCACAAAACGGATGGAATAACAACCCGAAAGTAGCACAGGTTAAAACTTTATATATGAAGCTTCTTATTCACACCTTCCCAGCAGGCTCAACGGTAAGTTTAAGGGCTTACAGCGCTAAAATCGGGCTTAACAACAGACAAAAAAAAACTATTCACAGTGAGATAAAAGTCAAAACCACTGGAAACTGCATGTTACATAACAATTTTAAACTGTTAACTTTTATATAGCCAGCGGTTTTATTATAAAAATGTACAAAAATCATTATTCTGCTTTGCTTTGTTCAGATTCTTGGGTCTCAGATAATAGGACTTGGCGTGGCCTTGTGGTTAGGGCATTTAACTCGCAATCTCTGGGGCGGGGTGTCAAATCCACGTCGTCAATCATGCTCGCTTTTTAATCCATGGCGGCGTTATATTGTGACGATCAATCCCATTATTCGTTTGGTAAAAGAGTTGACGACGATGTTTACTAGCTGCCTTTCGTCTAGTCTATCACTGCTAAATTAGGGACAGCTAGGTGTAGCTTTGCGCAAAATTCAAAAGACACCAAACCAAAATCATGTAACATTTACATCCATAGAAGATTTCTCATGTGCAGAAACGAAGATGAGCCTAAGATTCCATCATCATATATGACAGACACACGAATTGCTTCTGAGATAAACCTCAGGAGAGTTTTAGCAACAGGTAAAATGCCTGCAATTATGTATTTCAGTTTGTAGATAAAAAGTTGAACTATTAAGTATGTATTGTTTTTACTTGTTAAACATATAGTTTACCAAGATGCTGCAGAAAATCACCAATCACCTTATTTCGTTTGTGAAAGCTATAGCAGGCGAGTATTTGAAAATGCAGCTTCGTCATTACAGAAACTTTTTTATATCTCAACACAAAGGCAAAAGGATAAGCAAAAATGATTCAAGTTCGTTCTTTTTTAATCTCAGTAGTGTTTTTCAAGAATACTAAGATGTAAGCCTAAATATGTTTTTATTTATAGTGTTAAGTAATGCTCGCCCTGTAAAAACTTTGTTTTACTGGGGAAAGTACACTTATAGTAAATTAGACGTAAGAAATTCTCATGAAACACTTACCACGGCATGCATACAGTAAATATCTTATTCTACGAGTTCACTGAAATTGATGGAGATGATCAACATTACCATTTATTAAGATTGATTCAATATCATTGGAGCTAACTTTTTATTTGTTACATTTTGTAATTTCACTCAAACGGATATGAAAATAAAGTCCAAAGGAAACTGACATAATGAAACACAGAGGCTTAAGAACGTTAAGTTTAAACAATTTTGATTCTGAAAATCGACAAGTTAAATGGCAACCACAACCGATACAAAGTCACGGTCGAACAGAATTTATCAGAACTACATTGACATTCTCTGGCGTTGTGTAGGTAGTGCGATGCGACCATAAGTTGGTCACTATTAGGAATGGTAACAACTATTTCCGATGTAAAATATTCATACACTCATAAAGTCTCTCTTGTCTTTAATGGCATTTATAAAAAAAGGAATATTGATGAACGCACAAGGACCATTGAAAAAGAGACCTGCAATAAGTCCTACTCCAGCCATAGTAAGCAAAGTGTGTCATTTTCTACAAGTATGAAAATATATGATTCCACTCTCATTCATTACAATCAGGCAATATATATATAACTATATTCACTTACTGTTCCTTTAAATATTTGTTTCAATTTTGGTTTTGGTTTTATTAACTAATCGTTTTGTTTTTGTTTATATATTTACAAATCCTTTTGTATCGTTGCTATTCTTTTTTGTAATAACTATTTATTTCTATACTTTACACATTATTTTGTAAAGTATTGAAATATACATATATTTACAACCTGTTTATCCTGTACTGTTAGAATTTAAACACTTTATGCATTTACTAAGTATACTATTTACAGCCGTATAACTATTCTGTTTGTGTATTAATAACCATTATTTTTCACTATATTTGCTTATACATTACGTTTGTATACTTATCATTTACTCTATATGAATATTTTCTAACTATATATATTGAGAGATTTTCACGATGCTTTAATTTAATTTTGAAAACATACTCTTGAACTGTAAAAAATATATTATTAGTGCTATTTTGAATATTTTGAAGATATACAAGTGTTAGTATTGTTTCATTTATAAAGACATACTGGCTTAAAATTTGATTATTTCTTCACTGTAAGTGATATGTCTAAGAAAATATATTACATTTAGCGCTTTTTTAATCATAATACTCGTAAGAATTTTATAACTTCATTGATGAGATTTGTATGCAGTGTTAACATAATACGAACACCGAGAAGGGAGAAAATACACCATAACTATATTCCAAGCATCAAAGAAACGACCATTTGTATTAGTTATTGTGATATGAATGAAGTGCGTGTCATCATGTTTTTATAACTTATCTAAAAGATCTGGACAGATGCTTTGAATTCTGGTTTTGTGCCTATGGTACTTAGAGCTCTCCAGTTGGTGTTAATGGTTTAAAACGATGTTCTAAACAATATTTTGTTAACAGTATCAGTTTTGGTGTTTACGAAAAATGTTGTTGGAAAGTAAATAATAAACATTAAGCTAATCACTATTAATCTACTTTCTGCTAGATATCCATACTTGTTTATTAAGAATCATACAAATTGAAAGGTGGTACAAAATATAAAGAAAACACACAATGTTTTGCTTATTAATCAAAGGAATATTTTAATTCTGTTTTCTTACTCAGTTTCTTATATATGTGTTACATGTTTTTATACATAGGCCAGTTACAAGCAGACCCATCTCAGATCTCCTGTGATTTCGAACAAGATCTTTGCAGTTGGGTAAGCCATGGAAGCAGCAGTGTCTGGGATACAATGAAAAGTTCTGTATTTACCAACACACCACCACCATTTGGTAAGTTAAATATTTGTTTTCTCTAACACACGCCTATCTTTAACATCAGTTACAAATAATATTATATTCTTTAAGTCGTAAAACGCAGTGGTGGAAACATTTATTAAATCATTCAATTTTTTCACACTTTTCTTGGGAATCATTGTCTGTTTTTAGGCTCTAATGTACGTAGGTGCAAATGTGTTTTATGGATGACACCGTACTGCCTAATTAGTACACCGGTAGCTTTATAAGATGTCTGGGTTTTGCATCAGCTGTTTTATGTCTATAAAAGAGGTTATTACTGAGAATCAGGTTAGAAGCCTATCTGGGATAACATGCGTGTAATGCTACAATGACCAATGGTTGCGAGTAAATACGATGGAAATAATCAGAAATTGTCTCTTTGAGAAAAAGAGGGATTTTCGACAAGGTAAATTGCTAAAAGATATAGAGAGATTAGTTGTATGGAGTGGCGGAAGAAAATGGATTGGAAGAAAAATTCCACAGCAGCTGATGATCACGTTCTGAAATGTATGAGTCTGCAGTATCGTCGACTGTCGTAAACACATATATCAAGCAGGAAACTTCAGGGGTCACTGTCACCACGTACACCACCTGTTCTCGCCTGTGTTCACCGGTTTTCCAGTAAGACTGCTAAGAAAGAAACTCCTCTTCGCCAACAAGATGAGGAAAATGAGGCTCAATTGACTCAAAGAGCATGCTGACTGGACTGAAGCAATGTGGAGCAAGTGATAATCTTAGACGAATCAAAGTCCAGCCTGCACGGGTCTCTTGGGAAGCACTTTGTGCGATGTCGATGTGGAAAAGAGCTTCGTCCAGCAAAGTTGAGATGCAATGTAAATATATGGTATTACGAGTCCAAGAGTTTGTCATTTTCAGAATGTGCATACAGAAAAAATATAAAGATTTTCGTCAAAGGAACTCATATTGAGGACCAAACTTATCAACTGACATGTTTCACTGCGATTATTATTACGTTAAAATTCTAGCACTTATGTTCCCTCTGGGTTCTACCAATCCTTGAAGAGTCCATGCCAATCTTGAACAAAGCAATTAAGGTCTGAATCATGCACAGCAAATCGTTCTGGCAAGGAGTTGAGAAAATGGTAGAACGTTTGGAAATTTCTTACGAAATGATGCATATACTTGAATCAGATAATTCAAAAATAGGTTCCACATCTTTGCAATGACAATGTTAGCAATAATTTGATAGCTACGTTTCCTTCTTTCTCATCACTAACGATGAAGGAAAAGAATCATTCTATGCCCTATTAAACTATAAGAAGTTTGCACTGCAATTTATAATGCTGTAACTATTCTGAATTGTGTTTATATGAGATTAATATTCGCAGAGGAGACTGCTCAGAGAGTATTGAACTTTCATTTGTTTGTTTTAAATGAAAGCCACATTGAGCTATGTGTTGTGTGAACTGCAGGAATCGAACCTCCAATTTTAGCGTTGTAAGTTTGTAAATTTCTGCTGTCCCACCATGGGCTACAATTATTTAAAGTCACGAAATGTATGCTTAATGCTAAAGAGAAAGAAGTACTGTATGACTATTCTTGTCACAAATGCAAAGTATGTTGGAAAACAGTTTGGATGGAAAAGTTAGAGTGACGATTCATAATTGGGGAAGTTTTTCTCTCTGATATTGTGTTAGGGGTTTGTGAGTCGTCTGCACCTGGAAAAGTAGCATTTACTATCCTTAGCCATAAGCAGCAATTCTTTAAACTTACGGTTTCCTAAGAATTACTTAAAAGAAAGCTAGTACTGTGATGTATATAGTACAGTATCTAAATATTTTGATTAAAATACCTCACAGTGGAGGCCAAGAATATTAACCGGCATGCTTTACTTCGTCTGGTCGACTTCCAAGTGAGTGAGAACCTCCTGAAAAGTCCTACACACATGAAAGAAGAATACGAGGACAAAATTGAGGATATGCTTGCGAATGGGAACAATGCTGAGAAGTAGATGTGGAAGAAGTGTACCATGAAGGAAGAAAAATTAAAATTAAGTCAGCGTTCTCATAGATAATTTGTTTACTTTTTTGAAACTTAATTGCAATGATAATTATGATTGAATAAAAGTTATTGAACAACGTGCACAATTTTTTTACATGATTAGTATAAATATAAACTCACAATTTACTACTTTAAATTCATTTCTGTAAAATAAAAATGGGAAATAAAAAGTAAAAAGTGATGATTTTCTAAATAATAACTAAGTCGATATTGTGTTTAATGTAATATGTCGGGAGGTGCCCCAGTGAGACAGCGATAAATATACGGACTTATAACGCTAAAATCCGGGATTCGATTCTCTATGGTGAACAAAGCAGATCGGGAGGTGCCCCAGTGAGACAGCAATAAATATACGGACTTGTAACGCTAAAATCCGGGATTCGATTCTCTATGGTGAACACAGCAGATCGGGAGGTGCCCCAGTGAGACAGCGATAAATATACGAACTTATAACGCTAAAATCCTGGATTCGATTCTCTATGGTGAACACAGCAGATCGGGAGGTGCCCCAGTGAGACAGCGATAAATATACGGACTTGTAACGCTAAAATCCGGGATTCGATTCTCTATGGTGAACACAGCAGATAGCCCAATGTGATTTTACTATAAAATAAACAAACGAAAGTATCTCGTGAACACAGTCATTAAAATTGTGCAAAATACAAATATCTTCTAAATGTTTTGGTTTTGAATTTCGCGCAAAGATACACGAGGGCTATCTGCGCTAGCCGTCCCTAATTTCAAAAATACTCAGATATTGTTGTTTTTTGTTTTTTCTGGTGTTATAAAAAAATCTATGGCTACTTTCTGTAACATCCTGCAATTAATTACTCTTAGTTTACAAGAACAGTATAAAGGAAGCCAATAGGTAAAGTGTAAATTGAATATTATATAAGTTTCATCATATTTATTCAATAATATTAGACGAGCTATCATGATGGAAATCAACAGCAAAAACATGTTATTGAAAAGAGAAGTGTCCTTTCTATTATTAATAAGCCTCGACTGGGAGAGAATAGAGCGCTCAGAAATAGAGAAAGACTAATGAAGATTAGGTTATGTTTCATTAATTGCCACAATATGAACATATATATTGTTGCAACAGTCGAACAATTCTCAAAATATTTAGGATGACCACTACCACATAACATACAGGTCTAACAATCTGCCATAATTTAAATGTAAAGAGAAAAATAGTCGATTTAAGAGTAACAGCATCGAGGCCAGGATTAACAAGATAATAATCAGGACTGCAAAAAACCTGCTTAAGGAATATATGTTGAGTAACAGGTTTTAGATCAAGATCTAATCCAAGAAGATCTATTGATTGTACAAAAATTGTGTAAGAATACAGTAGTCGTGTTTTGAATGAGCGCATATTACATTTGGTATTACATTTTTGCTCATTCTTGAAACTAGACAGTCTCTGACGTCAGCCTTTACAGTGTTGAGATGGTTTGATTTATAATTGAGCTATTTACCTGCATCTGTGGGTTTCTTCTAGCTTCCTCTGATATATGAGTTTCATGTCTTGGTAACCATAAAGTCTACGAATGGGAGTTTATTGAATTTTTATATATCCATTATGAATTGTATGCAGGATGTATTCTGTTCAGGTGGTATATAACATCCAGAGTCTCGTCTTTAGTGTTTAGTCATATTACTTATGTGTCGTCAACATATATTTAGCTAAGTCCTGGCACTTAGAGTTGCTTTATCAAGGAGTTATCTTCGAGGTGTTCCATACAGTGGTTACTAAGTACTGTAATTAAGTTGTGACCCGCTTCCTGCTTCTAGGAGAGCTTTAGATGACTCATCCTGGTGAAAAACACCAAACAACACAAAATGTGTTGCAGGTATACATACAAACACATACTACAAAAAATTGTAGTTTCTTTAAAGATTGTGAATTTATTTCATAAGCGCTGGAAAAATCATTTTAGCGCCTTTCAATGTACCCCCTTATTTCTACAAGAAGTTTTCCTATTATAAAAGTAACCTAGTAACAGAATATTGTATATGATAATATTAATATATATATACGATTTTAAAGATGGCGAAATGAATAGAACTTCTTAAGACAATGGATAAACGTATCCTATAATTTAACGCACTATATCTATGATATAGCTGACGAATTACAATGAAGAACACCATTAGGTGTAAAATATATCATGATTTGCAGTAATAAAGATGCGAATGTTTTTTTTTTAGAACTGTGGCTAATCGTAGATTTTTAAAATATTACGATCTAACGTAGAACATTCATTTCACGTTGTGTTTAGTTTGAAACATTTTACACCCCTAGTATGGGTAGTAGTAAAGAAACACATGCACACACAACATTCATATTCATATATCATGAATCAACCACTACTAGTGATTGATTGTGTGAAGAACGTGTATTATTAAAAGGTTTACGATAAAATAATTGAACTTAAAGCTATAGTTGTTGTTTAACATTTATTTTTACTTTGTAGGGACACGAGTTGCAGCACTTATTGCAAGGGATAATACATCAGCCTACCTAATAAAAGAGAATATTGACAAAGAAAGTACCACAGGTAAGGTACGGCTGTGGGTTTGGCTGTCCAAAGCAGAGTTTGAAGTAGCAATGCGAGACGTTTACAAAATACCAATTTGGACGATTGATTCTGCTAATGTGAAAGAGATTGAGAAAACATGGCATAAAATCGAGTTTTCTTTAGCCGACGAAGTCAAAAAACTACAATCGGGAAAAAAATATTTCGAGGTAAGAATTTTAACAAAATAGATAATGAATGAGTTGGAATATTCATGTACTGGTTTGACAAATTGTTGTTAATTACGTATATTACCTTCATTGATTAGTTAAAATATTGTTACAATATTGTTAATATTAATAGCAGTTAGTGGCTTTGTTTTGAATTTCACTCAAAGCTACACGAGAGCTATCTGCATTAGCCGTCTCTAATTTGACAGTGAAAGACTATAGGGAAGACAGCTAGTTAACCACCCACCACCAACTCTTTGGATACTCTGTTATCAACGAATAGTGGGGTTGACCGTCTTATCATAACGCTATAGCGGCTGAAAGGATTCGAACCCGCTCTAGTTTCCAGATCATGCCAACCACTAACTAGTTAATGCATCATGTCTCATTTAGAAGTGTACCGTTAATGGCCTTCTTGTTTTATGTGTAGTAGTAACGTCCATTGAAATACATTATTCTGTTCAAAGATTCACTTTAATATCGTTCCTAGTAATACCTATGTGTAATATTAATAGAAATTTAATAAGTTTTGTCAAAAATAAATTTATGTATATATATGTTTGAGCTAAACATACCTTAAAAATTATTAGTTGTTCAGCACAACTGTTGCACAAATATTACCAGATATGTTTTTTTTTTGCAAATGGGAGATTATGTAAAAGCGTATGATTTTACAATAATATCTGTAACACGTAAAGTGAAACAGGTTCACTGTGACAACAATAAATGATACTGTGTTGTAAATTTCTAATACTAGACTTTGTACTACGTTATCTTTAAGTTATTTTCTTCGGAAAGAGTACTTGATCCTGTTCACCATATTGAAACTAACTAATAAACTAAAGTTTTTAGCATGACATTGACCCCTAATTATCAAGTGTAGACTGAAAGATCTAATGCTTTGTTTATGAAAACGTTCCTACCATTTAATAAATTGGTCTGTAATATATCTCATTCTACAGTTTTAAGCTCTGTTGTGCATCCTCGACTTCACGGCTCGTTTCCTGTTACAGGAAAGAAAAAGAAGAAACTGTGTTCCATGATTTGGGGCCATAGGTGCATAGTAAAGACTATTAACTCCTATATTTTAGTTAGAGTATCCCAAGCGTTGGCACTGTATGCGATTGACTAGCTGCTTTCCCACTGGTATATCACTTCAAATTAGGGATAGATAATGCAGATAGCATATGAATATGTTTGCTTGACTGTCCAAAACACAAAAAAGTGTAAAACGACGAAATTTTTTCATGTTTCAGTGAAAAAACACAGTATAATTTAGAAGACCATCAAATTTGTCAATTGAGAGATGTTATATGTGAGCGCACTTATTAGCATCTCATTTTTATCGAACAAGTCGATTGATCATACCATGGTTTTATTCCCTGAAGACAGATAGCGCGGGTCTATAATTGAATACCTATGATACATAAATAATGTAGTTATTCAGCCTAAAGAATGGTTTACAATCAAAAGTGTTGAGAGTTATAGCTACTGGAAGCTGGTAGAAATGAAGGACAAGTTAGTTCCAATATCTACTACTATATAGGATTATAATACAATAAGTTGACTACGACTATATACCATTTTCACTTAGCACTAAGACAAAATGAAAAGTGTTTTTAAATTATGTTCTTTTTCTTCCTTCTCAAGTTATGGCTTCACGGCACTGTTTCAAGAGATCCCGAATCGGTGGTCGCAGTATCAAAGATAGAATACTTGGTAACTTCTGCTACAACGTTAAATACGAAAGAATTGACGAGCTCAACTACAGTTAACAAATCTACATTCGATGATATCCTGTCTGACGCAAGTTCCCAGGAAACTTCATATAGTGATTTTTATGCTAAAACCACAACAAAGAACCCCACGGCTATGAACTTACACACTACACACAAAAAGCATAAAACCACAAAGAATATTAACTTAAAGAATATTAACACTACAAGTACGTCAGAAATACCTACTGACTATAAAAAGTATGAACAGACCACGATCGTCAAACCTACTGACTACAGTAGCAGTGGAAAGACTACGTCCGTAAATACTAAAGACAATAAAGATGATAAAATTACAACAAACAAATTTACAGATGATAATAATGATGATGATGAAATCACGACATATAAACAAACTGAAGACAGTGGTAATGGAAAAACGTCTCCAACCAAATCTACAGTCGATAGTGATTTTGGAAAAACTACGCCACACAGGCATACAGATGCTAACAAGGGTGAAAAAACTACGCCAAACAATCCTACTGACGATCATAGAGATGTAAAAACTATTCAAAGCAAACCTACTGATGATAGTGGGAATATTAAAACCATTCCAGGAAAATCTACGGACAACAGTGAATACGGTAAAATCACACTAGGCAAAACTACAGACAATAATAGAGGCTGGCAAACTACACCAAACAAATATACAGATGACAAAGAAAACAGAAACACTACACCAAACAATAGTACTGACGATAATCGTGATGGAAAAATTTCTTCAAAGAAAACTAGCGAAGATGTTAAATACGGAAAAACAACCCCATACGAACCTACTGATGATAATGTAAATGACAGAACAACGATAAACAAAACCACTGAGGAGAATAGAAATGAAAACTCTACGACAAGTACACCAATTGATGAGTTTAAATATGGTACAACCACGCCAAATAAACATACTGATGATACTAGGGATCTAAAAACTATTCCTACAGATGATGATACATATGGTAAAACCACGCCATACAAACCTACTGATGATAATGAAAATGACATAAAAACATCAAACAAACCTACTGACAATGCTAGATATGGAACAACGACACCAGACAAATATACTGATGATAATGGAAATGAAAAATTTACGCTAAATACTCATACATATGATGAACGATACAATAAAACCACGCAAAACAAACATACCAAAGATAATGAAAATGGCAAAAGCACATCAAACAAACCAACTGATGATGCTATATATAGAAAAACTACGCCAGATACTGAAGATAATGGAAATGATAAATCTACGTCAAATACTCGTACAGATGATGATAGATATGGTAAAACCACACCAGACAAACATACTAATGATAACAGAATTAGCAAAACCACGTCACACATACCTACTGACAATAATCGAGATGAGAAAACTTTTTCCAACAAACCTACTGACGATACTCGATATAGAAAATCTACATCCGACAAATATAATGAAGATAATGGAAACTATACACCAAATACTCCTACATATGATGATAGATATGGTAAAACCACGCCAGACAAACATACTGATGATAATGGAAATGACATAAGAACATCAAACAAACCTACTGACGATGCTAGATATGGAAAAACTACGCCAGATAAATATACTGAAGATAATGTAAAATCTACGACAAATACTCCTAAAGATGATGATAGATATGGTAAAACCTCACCAGACAAACATACTAATGATAACGGAATTAGCAAAAGTTCGTCAAGCACACCCTACTGACAATAATCGAGATGAGAAAACTTCTTCCAATAAACCTACTGACGATACTCGATATAGAAAATCTACATCCGACAAATATACTCAAGATAATGGAAATGGAAAATCTACGGTAAATACTCCTACCGATGATGATAGATATGGTAAAACCTCTCCAGACAAAATTACTGATGATAATCTAATGGGAAAGGTTTCTTCAAACAAACCTACTGACGACAGCGAGAATGATAAGACCACTCAAGATCAATCTACTAGTGATACTGGTAATGAGAAAACAAATATATTCACATCTACTAACTATAGAGAATTTGGTAAAACGACATCACACAAATATACAGATGATATTGGAAATGGAAAATCTACACGAAATACACCTACTGATATTAATGAAAAACCTATGCCAGACAAATCAACTCACGACAGTAGATTTCATTATTAACTGTAGTTTTGCCTAGAGTGGTTTCATCATGGTTGGAAAACAACACCAAACACATATACAGATGATAACGAAAATGAAAAATCTCCGTCATTTACATCTTCTGATGTTTCTAGCTATGGTAAAACCACGCCAGACAAATATACTGAGGATAATGTAAAATCTACGCCAATTACTTCTACAGATGATGATAGATATGGTAAAACCTCACCGGACAAACATACTAATGATAACGGAAATAGCAAAAGCACGTCAAGCACACCTACTGACAATAATCGAGATGAGAAAACTTCTTCTACGATTGGATATTTGAATGATACAAATTGTCCCTCAGATGAACCATCCACAAACCCTCAGGGTGAACCTAGATATTCTATCAAATGGTGGCAAATTATCTTAATCAGCCTGGGTTTGTTTTTATTGCTAGCTTTGTGCGTATGCTGTATTCTTACCACTCCATCACGTCGAAAGAAAAGAGAAGATGGTCCTTGCTTTATTTCTTCCAGTGTTGATGAAGGACCTTTGATTTCTTATCTATCTTTCAACGTATGATGAATATTTCACGCGACTACTTTGATCATGATGAAATGCATGATATACAACTTGTATATGTTATGTAAATTAAGCAGCTTATGAGGACATCTGAATAAAAACACTCAAAATGAACAGGTGAATAGAAATACACAAATTACATCTGGAGCAATAGAATAGGTAAAGGTTTTACAGATAAGAGTGTCTTAATTATATGTAATGATTACCTATATATTTTGTTTGCCCGTTCAAATAATTGAGAATAATTGTACGTGTATTACAGCTATAATGTGGTGAAGATCGGTGTTTTCGCTGCTACTACTTTGTAATTTGTTTGTGAGTATTGAAAAATAAATATCTGAGTCTAAGAGTTTCAATTGATGTTTATATTTTATTGTGTGTGTGTATACTTAAGTGTTTGAAAATATGGAATATTGCCTAACTATAGCTATCTTCATGGAGAAAGATAAAGTTTTGTTTACATTTGTTGTAACTGAAATATAAGTATCTATTATATACTATGATAGCTTATACGTAAACTGTCATATCAGTTAAAATATTTTGTAAAATGTTAATTGATTAAATAATGTTTTCAATGTTTGGAACAGGCATGGCTTATTGAGCCTGTTGAGGTCCGGGGTTCATGACGTCATGTTTCTGGAAACGCTGTGTTTAGTCGATATGCGCATAAGGCGTCGTTAGATGTGAAAAACAAAAGCAGTTTTAATTATGTTTAAATGTTCTTGATGTCTGGGGTTTGAAATACTTCTCTTTTATTAGGAAGAGACAGAGTAAAAATTTATTTAAATAGTTTTATTCTCTAATTGATTTTGATATATGAATTTTTTGGGTAAGTATGCGAAAAACATTTCTTATAACGAGAATAAAGTTATTTAGAAGAAGTAACAAGTTTTGCATCTATACACAATTTTAAGGGAATATAAGAAAACTAATTATTTGTGTTGTGTAGTTACCTGTTGGTCAATAAACATTTAAGATATTTACTGATATAACTGTACATTTACAGATGATTGTACCTTTCATTCAGAAATGTATCCTATCAGATTCTTTATGGTTCTGTTTTAAATTCGTATTTCACGCTAATTTTATCGAAGGTTTGTAGACTTTTATTTATAATACAAAAACAAAATGCTATAAAAATTGAGGTACTAAAAATTCGACTGATAATGATACACCAGGAGCAAAAACATAATCATTGCTGAAAGTGTTTAGAATATTGTCCTGAGCTTCCGATCCGTAGACTGTTGTCTGTCCACAGGAATATTTCAGTCTCTTTGCAAAATGGTAACAAAATATGGATTCTAAAACACAAGTGGTGAAGAATGTTGCTTTACAATTTAACATGAGAGCACTTTATAAAAGTTAATATTGTACAACGTGGCCGTGAAATTCTAGGATCGGATCTATCTGGTCCTCAGTTACAAAAAGGTTGGGAATCATTGCCTTGGATAAAATAAAGAACTTCTCAAAGTATTGTTGACATAATTTTTTATAATGTATTTTTAATACCAATAAATTTGATGGTCATATATAACAATTGGCCGTAATAAATCGTCGTGTGTTCTGGTGTAACATTTAAGTAATGTGTACCAGTGTTAAAAATATGTGATAGAGTTCTTGAAATTTGTGAGTTCTTATTTTACATTGATGTTTGTACAGTTAACGTTAGTTATCCGAGAACTTAAATTAATGCAAATATTTATGTAATTCAAGAATTTTACATGTATTTAATGTACAGATTCGTAGTTCATCAAAATATATATTGTGAAACAATATAGAATAAATAATTTATTGAATATATATATAATATGAAAAAGGATATAATAAATAACTTATTGAATATTTATGTAAAAATAATTTACTGATAGGTCTAATTTTTAAAATCATAGAATAAAAACTGTTTTTAAATATTGACGTTTATCAAATGACTTATTTTGAAAGTATAAATATTGAAACCTTTCCAGCTGTGAAATAAATGAAGAAATAAATTACAGACAACTAATAGGTCTACTACAAGTTCAGAATATTTGATTACTTTACGTTCCACATAAATTACAGACAACTAATAGGTCTACTACAAGTTCAGAATATTTGATTACTTTACGTTCCACATAAATAAAAAACCTTATTGTGCTAAGATCACAATCTAGCATTTTGCGAATGTTCTGGGAATACTGAAAATATAAAAAATGAAACAGATAATTGGTAAATCGAAAATGCTTTGATTATTAGGTAAATTTATTGATGTGAAAATGGCTTGTTTTGTAAAATTGAAACTCACTATAAAACTATAAAACGATTCCCTCAAAATCTTTCGTCTTAATACTCCTACTCTTACTTTATGCGAAATTCTCTGATATAAATCAAAGTTCATACAAAGTAAGAAACTTTAAAATTAGCATTTCTAATGTTTATATTGTTGTAATTGTTTGATTTTTTGGGTGGGTTCTTTTGAAGCTTCAGTAAAAAGAAAAATCCAATGTCCAATTCGTTTAACGATAACGAAGGTGTTTAATTTCTTCAAATTCTAGTTCAACGAGTTTCACAGTTTTGTACAACTAACCTAGTGTTCACCAAGCAATAGGATAGGTTTAACTTAATAATACCAATTATCTGCTAATTTTCTCGTACTCACGATAATTCTGATATCTTTATTATTGTGTCTTAAACTCGACTCACAATTTACGTCAGCGAATTAAACAGCTGTTGCATAGTAGTTTACACAAATTATAGACTTATTCACTGTTAATAAACTCGTTCTCAATAATTCACCGACTTTATTATTTGACACAATAACCGCGAAGCCTTCTACTTTAGCCTAATTCGCGTTTTGTGCTTCACAAACAGTTCTAAAACTTTGGATTATATTCCAAACCTAGGCCATGCGCTCGTCACGTGACATTAAACTTAATATATGTTTCTTTGAATTTCTATATTAAAAGCATAGCCTAAAACAAAGTTTAAGCTGAAGTTTGAGACATTATTTTTTAGAAGTCAAACTTTTCGTCAATATTACATGTTGAAATATCGTGACGAAAAATAAGAAAATAATTATATACCTTTAATGATATTGTGTATTCACGTGTCCAATTATGTGTAATGATGTAGAAGAGTCGTGATTAAAAGTGCATGTCATATATGTTGTCTGTTTGTTTCGAGTTTTTATTGAAAATAACATGATGTCAGAGTGGAATTATACAATAAAACAGTACGAAACATAAGGGACATTCACTTCTGTAATTCTTTATATACACACACAAAAAAAGAAATCGTCGACCAGTCGGTCTCAAGTAACTAACACGAATAACTCGAAAAGCCAATCGTATGAAATAGACTTCTCAGTGATGGTTTACTTGTTTGTTGTTAAGCACAAAGTTACACATTGGGCTACCTGTGCCCTCCATGGACATTAAAACCATGTTTTTTTCCGGTATAAGCCACCAGACTTACCACTTCCGCAATGGAGGCCTCCAATGATGGTAATATATCAGAACAATGGCAACTGGTGAAATCAAACAATGTAGTTATGTTTAGATGTGACTATGGCATAAAAGAAGGGAAATCTTTCTTTATCTAATAGATCAAGACTGTCCTGATATATACAATACCTGAAAAAGATAACATCTGGTAGACAAGTTCCAAACTTATTGTAATCCTAAGAAGAAGCACAGATTTAACATAAAGGATTAAGGCGAAGATAAATTACTGATCAATATGCAACTGAGTTATGATTGGTTGCTCAGAACTGTGAGTTTGAGGAGTTGAAAGACCAATTTATCCGCGACAGTATTGTTTGAGGGGCTAATTCTGAAAGAGTAAAAAAAAACTGTTTCGTGTGAATGACTTAACCCTTGGTAAAGCGCTAAGTATATGTAGAGCAGGAAAATATTCGTTCAGAAACATAAATAATGTAAATGTAAAAACCATAACATAATCATAGCATACCCGATGTCAAAAGATGCAGCAAGAAAAATATAAAACAAAAGGATTGG